CTCCTGAATTAAACGTTCCTCATATTGAACCATGTAATTATTTGCTAAAATTTATAATAAACACGATTCCATAGCTAAACCTCGTGTTTTCTCGTACAGTTTGTCATTAAAGGCCAAATATGTACAGTACATCGCAAGGTTGGTTAGTATCATTATTGACCCTTTACCTAACTTCGTGCTCATTTAAAGCTCCACATGTTGGTTTAGTGTTGATTGCATACCCTGCATGGCATCATCTACAGTGATCTTAGTTTAAATAGACTCAACATCAAAACTAACCAACATGTTGCCAAATAACAGAGTTATCGTCCATATTGTGGACTAATAACTTATGAACTAAAACTGTCCCCTAAATTAAACTTTCCTCATATCGAGCCATGTAATTATTTACTAAAATTTGTGACAAACACGATCGCACAGCTAAACCTCATCCTTCTTTGTACAGATTAACATGTAAGCTCAAATATGTACAGTACATCGCTAAGTTGGTTAGTATCATTATTAACCGTTTACTTAACTTCGTGCTCATTAAAATCTCCGCATGTTGGTCTAAAAGAATGTTATGTACATCAAAACTTACCAGAAAATCCCCACTTTCTATCTCCTTCCCGTCGACTAAGTTAACGAATTAATAGGAATTCTTGAAAGGAACCTTCCACTTCTCGGAGATTTGTTTTAACTGTTTACAAATAATTCTTGATATTTTATGCACCACGCTTCCCATATTATTCACAATAATTCTAAGTATCACTCCATCTTTTTTTTTGTCAGACCATATGCATTCGGAGGCCTAGCATATCGTGGAAGAGGCGTGTTCATCTTCCATTTCTTCTATTATTCAATGCTGCAGGCATCCCCTGAGTCTAGTTTTAAGGATTTCTGTAGAGCACCTACTGATTACCTTGTAGTTAGTAGTGTCATCCAAAGCCTGAATCATTCTTTCTACGTAGCTCAACCTATCTATAACTACCACTACTCCTCCTTCGTCTGCTCAAAACACCATTTGGCCCTCATCATGATGATTTTCACTCGCTTATTCCTGAATTTTATTTCTACTTGTCTATTAATTAAAGGAACGACATGTAATTCAATATCCATCGTAGCCTCTTCTGGAGGATGGTCGGTAAAGGTTATGAGTTCCACCAGAAACTCCTCCCTATTATCCTTACTCTTTGGCAAAGCAAAGTTGAAACCTTTCGAGAGCACTTTCTCGGTGGTAAAGTCCAAGGCTGTTTTGGATAGATTTACTACTTTCTCCAAAACTGTCATTTGCTCACAACAATTTCGATTAGCCTTTGTCTTGATTCCTATACCCAAATTCCTAAGTCTGAATCTACCCAGTTGAAAACAATATAACACAGTCTGTCCGCCATTCTGTTCCAGGCTAAGTGTGATTGATGAAAACTGGTTTTTCTTCTTATCGAGGAGTGTAATTTGTTAATGTCTTCTTGAGCCAACTTTTTTGCCTTCGTATTATCGGTAAATTATCGTTAGGCATGGTGTTCTGCTCTGATGATGTTCGTCACATGGCGAACGAAAAATCTGCAAGGATTCATCGGGTCCGACGGGCGGAGCGCCGGGTACCTATTAGCACAAATCTACAACGACAGCTCCAAGGTAATCCCCTACAGTCTCCGGTAGAACCAACTTACGAATTCCTTCCACTCGCCTCTTCAAATGAAATGAAAGCTATTCCAAGATAAGAATTGAGGACTGCAACGGTAGAGTGGAATTGTGATCTATGAAATGCAATCCTTCGTTGGTTTGAATTCTAGCCGACAATTATCGGGATGCACATTGAAGAAAAGGTGCAACTCGTTCAATTAAATATACATGAACGATAAGACCAGCATTATCATTAACGATGAACCCCGAAGCGACCTTTCCGCTGAAAGCAATTAAACAAAATAAGACTAAGCTCGACTCTGTATTTTAATTAGCCGAACTCATGCAAAACAATGTCATAATCTTAGGTGCACTGGCTAGAAATGGTTCAGAATCAAATAGATTCATAAAAGACGAATGATATTAAAGATTGCCTAGATTTCGGCAGTTTATGACGGCATGAGGGTAGATAAATTAAAGGCCAGCAATTACTTTAATCACAGTTGAAAATTGGGTTCAGAAATAGGTATCATAATGAGATACATTATTCTTTGGTAGATGCTAGTGTAATCAAGTACTAGGATATAAATTGAGCAGAGAAAGGGAATGATTATTCACATTTTGGATAAATTGCTTGGATGATCGTATATTTCAGCAGGCCGTTCGGAAATTCTTTGTATTTATGACAAAAATGCATAAGTATTTATTGGGCATTTCTGGTAAATAATGTTATTTTTCTACTCGCATTTACTCAAATTATTTTAACATAACAGTGCTTAATTCACGTAGGTTTTGTTTTTAGTGGTATTTGCCATCTACTGCTAATATATAGAAATTCAAATTCTAAAATTGTTTCTGACTTAACTATTAAAGTCCCGATCTGTGATTTATAGTTCACAGCATAAAGTTAATTTGCTATCAAAGTAGGATTCTAATAAATAAGCATTTGAAAGCACGATTAATTGTTATTTCAAAACAGCACAAAGATATAAAAAATAATATTAAGCCATTGCCCAGAGCCGAATGTCACTTGGGTTTGGGCAATTTAATAATGAAAGGAAAATTATTTCACTCCTACTTACCT